ACTTATTTTTATACAAGGTAAAAAACCCGGGTGAACATGAGTCCAAGATTCAATAGTTTTCCGAGACATAAATAGGGTTAGTTTAAAAAAATGTATGGGGACTGAATCAAGAAGACCGAATTATCTCGAAAAGTGTCAGTGGTATGAACAAATGTATCGGACAAAAGTTACAGGATATGAAATACTACATGCCAAGGTGTGAGGTATTTGATCGTGACGTGACCTTGAAATGTCCTGCAAAGATTGTGTCACAATTCTTAAATAGGACCCCATATTTTTGAAGCCGACATTCAGACATTTCCAAACCATAGACATAAAATTTTTCGTGTAAACCATTATCAAGATATCAACATCCAAAATTGCTGGCTCGTCAGTAGTGATGGTAGCCCACGGTCAGTCTGACTACCAACCTGTGAACAGAAGGGTAAGTGAACGCTCGGTTGAGCAACCGTGACGTGCAGTTTCAACAGATTCTCCGTAATGACTCAACTCTGTAATGCGATGAAGCGAATGGAACATCTATAGTAGACTCCTATAAGAACGCATGGGAGAGTAAAGGAAGATAGAAAGTGCGATGACTGTATTCTCAGCTGTGAGTCTACGGTCCGATCGATAAACAATGTCATTTACATTTTCAGGCGGAAACCCATCGTGTAGCAAACAAGGACCCTGGATATAGCGTTCCATCGCATTGTCCGTTGGCCACCATCACTATCGACGAATCGAAAACTTTGGATGTTGATATCTTGATAACGACTTACACAACAAATTTCATGTCTATGGTTTGGAAACGTTTGAATTTATTTTATTTAAAAATTGTGACGTGACCTTGGCAGGATATTTCAAGGTCACGACACGGTCAAATTCCTCCCACCCCGGCATGTAGTATTTCATACCCTGCAACTTTCGTTTGATATATTGTTCCTATTTTTATATCGAAGCCATTGAGTTTTGGATCCATGTTCACTGGGTTTTTTACTCAGTTTAGTGAGTTATACACGCCCTATCATTTGTATGCAATAATTTTGTTACACTCTGTATATTGTATTGAACAACCTTAGAAACTGTCACTATGGAGTAAAACTTATGGAACTTTTGTAAAACAAAGTATCCATGTGTAACCCGAGAAGCGTGAGGGAACCGATGCGACGACATCCAGTTATAGTTGGCTCACTCACGGACACGCTAATGTATATAAAATTCAATGTAGTAGTAATAAAAGTTTTTTGCGATTATTTCGGAAGCTAAAGCCTTCCGTTGACAACATATAAAGGGAAAATTTGTTCAAAATCATGTTCCCAACAATATATTTAAAAATCATCAAAATCGGCGCAGGCTAAGCACATCGACAATTTGACCCCCTTCCCAACTACAGACAAGGTAACGCAGTATTAGTTTGAACGAGAATCGCTGATATCACATCTAGCGACCTCCAGTGCAGTGGTCAGAACGCGAAAGGCGTCTGAACATTGATTCAAAATAAGGCTACAAAAAACAAGTTACAGCCCTCAAGAGAAAGATGGAAACATCGCTCGAAAACCTCAGACAATTACACACGGATAAAAAAAGAACACCTAAGGAATTGTAACGCAAGAGTGAGTAAAACTCAGATATATATTCCCTTGGAAAAATTTTAAAGGAAAACATCTGTGGAGCCGAACTGATTACTTTCTGCGGAAGGAATTCCGCAGAGATAAAAGTTAACTTAGGTGACAAAGCCAATCATTTATTTAAAAACGATATTCTGTCTCAAAAAGGAATAAAAGCCTCTATTTCGAAATATCGGCTTACAAGGAAAGGGGTCATTAAAAATTATGACCTGGATTACCCTTTAGAGGACATTATAAAATTTGCAGAGTCCCGACACAAAATTATTTCTACTAGAAGACTCAACCAGAAAATTAAAAATAAAAAACAGGCAAAAGAGAATAATACCTCAGCAACAGCATGCAAATCATCTTTGAAGATACCACATTACCTGTGGCAATATTTATATATGGGCTATACCCAATAAGAGTTTAAGTGTACATAGAGTCAGCGAAAATCTGCTGCAACTGCTCAAGGTGAGGTCACACAGTTGCAAGATGCAGAAGCCACAAAACTTGTGCAAATTGCGGCACTATGAGAGTAGTTGCTCAGTCACTTCACTAAAATATTTCCACTGCAAAGGGGAACATGGCTATAGTTGTCCTGCTTTTAAAGCTGAACAAGAGATTAACCAGATTGTAGGTTACTAAAACATCAATATATGGGAAGCCAGAAGTATACAGAAGTACTATTGGATAGACCAAGATATCTAAATCAGTTCTTAAACTCGCCAAAGAGCATTTTCCTCCTTTAAAAACTATCTCCCTTAGACAAATAATAATATTAAAAGAAACAGGAGGTCAGGAAAGACCATCTCCCAAGAAAACAACGCTAGACAACTTGAACAAGGACAACAACGAGAAGACCAAAAACCCAACCACAAGCACACAAACCAACACTGTTTGAACTAAAAACATAATAGACAATAAACCTATAGCAACAAGCCCCAAGGGGACAAACACTCTCCTGAAAAGCAATATCACTGTAACAAACAAAAATGGTAATGTCAAAAACAATGTCCCTTACAAATCAGTAGTCGACAGAAGGCATTCCTCAACAAGCCTCAAACAATACAAAGCCAAACCCAAATAAATCACAACAAAATATGGACAATTTCATTAAAATCATTCTGTGGAACTGTAGAGGCATTAGAAACAAGAAACTGGAAATAGAATGCCTAACAACTCATTTTGACATAATTACATACACAGAAACTTGGTTAAAACCTGACATAACCACTGCATAAATGGTTGCAAGATTATTTGGAAGGATAGGGAAACAAGCAAGGGTGGCGGAGTCGCCATCATAATCAAAAAGACTTTTAAATA